TTTGAAATTGTAAATAATGTTCGTTCATTGTAGTTTTGATTTTGCAAGTGTGTTATTTTTTGAATAAGGTTATCTGTTTTAAATTTTTAAGTAGATAATTTAATTTCTTTGTTCGGGTTAATTAGGGTGGCGTATTTCTATATGATATTTCTAAGCGAAGATTCATCTTGTTTATAGTTGACGCGCATTTTTTGGAAAATATTTATGTTATTTTTGTTTGTGTTTTCTGCATCGTCAGTATTTACTTTCGAAAGAAATAGTTTAATCTGGAGGTCGATGAGGTGGTTAGAAAAACCATTGTTAACTACTGTTTGCTTTGCATTTTTGAGTTATTTAAGGAAAAGTAAACGAGAGAATGAATTCTCATATGCTCTTTTTAGGATTTTTTTTTTATTACTGCTTTTTAGTAAGTGAGTAGACATTCACTCATAAAATTAAAGTGGCCAGAGTTTTTTCTAGTGTCTTTTTTTTACATTGAGGTGGTAAAAGTGTTTTTACTGCATTCTACGAGAATGTCTAAGAATGGGAGTTTATTTTTTCATAAATTCGAGAAACAGAGTTTTTGATAAATTCAAGAGATAGAGTTTTTGATAAATTCAAGGACAGAGTTTTTTCAAATATGGCTTTGAAAGAATCTAGTTCTTTTGTTTTTCATTAAAATAAAAATCTCATCCACGTAGCGTACATATATTTTAGGTTTACTGACCAGTCTAAATGTCATATTATCTTCATGGGTCATGCAGTAATTAGAGAAGGAGGGGCCGAGCGGATTTCCCATACTAACACCTTTAGTTTGGTTGTAGATGTAGCTATTATGGTCGTAGAAGTGGACTTTGGTTGCGTATGCATGTAATAATCTTTTGAGGATATTTGGTTTGATGGATGGAGGTGGGGTAGAATTATTTGTGTACACGGAAAGGATAATGTCAATTGTTTGATCGACGGGGACGTTTGTGAATAAATTTTCAACGTCAAGTGATGCTCTGGATCCTGTTATTTTTTTCACATCTATGCATCGAATAAATTTGTCTCAGAATTAATGGCTCACCCAAGCAGTTTTCAAAGGCATTTTGCTTCGAATCCCATTTACCATTTTCCACAGCCATTTTTGTGGCATACATTTTCATAATGTCAAGGTAAGTCTATGTATGTCTATGTAAGTCAAAATAACAGAAAGATAAGCGTGTAATTCAACGTTTCAAATTCTGATACCCTCTTTTTTCTTTCTTATCTTTTTTCTTATCTTTTTTCTTATCTTTCTTCTTTCTTATCTACCCTTAAACACATACCTACCGCTATATCAATAATCCAGTAACTTTTGGTTTCCTTCTGAAAAGCAATAGCGCCTGTCCTTCTTCTTTCGGTTACATTAGCATATTGAAGGAAGAAATCCAAGAGCAGCTTTACACTCTCATTTTCTACAACTGCAGGTTGTCGTACGCTTATACCATTTCTCTTCTCTCTCCAGTTTTTCTTTACTACATAGCAATCAGGGCATAATGCGAGTTATATTATAGACAAATTATTATATAAAAAATATCACTTATTGCGATATCTTCAAAGTTGACCTAATAAGCCGTAGTCCAGCAGATGAATTGGCAAACTGCACACCTTTTCCCGTATATGCCATTGCATGGTTACAGAAGGCGCTTATCTCTATTTTGTGATGATAAGTTACGTGGTCACATGAGACCGCTTCGCTACGCCATTCCATACAGTGACGAAAGCGGCAGTCATTTTTCAGTTGGTGGACAACAACGGAACGAGAAAGTTTCTTTCCTCTACTCTGGGTCAAAGGGCCTAGGCTGAGTCTAAATCTGCCTCAGCCAGCAGCTTAAAAGCATATGGTACCGTTTCCCATTGCGACATAGATGAATCCGGTTTGTCTGAATCTGGAATCCTAAAAATGGCTTCTCCAGGTCAGAAATATCTCCAAATTACATGTTGCTGTTTAGATATATGTGATATATAGTTCTCTACGTGGAATATATATATATATATATATATATATATATATATATATATATATATATATATATATATATATATATATATGAAGAAACATACTTTTAAGGTGTGCTATAGTTATCGGGTAAAGTTCTCATTATCAAAGATAGAGCGGATGTAAATATTATATAAAAGTGAACATTGAAGTCAACACACAGAGGCGACAGGCTGTTTCATGCTAGGCGCAATCGTCAGACCGCGAATGTTGGATTTAAAATATTCTTATAGATTATTTGTAATTACATGCATAAGACCTATCATAAGAGTTATCGATAATTACTGACCGGTTTTAGCATTGTGATATTTTTGCTTTATATGAAATATTAAAAATATAGTAACTAGTGTCCGCAAATTGAAGGAGAGAGTTATCAATGATACTATTCTAACTTCCAATCCCCTTTAATCTTTTTTCCCATTTCCCAGACCTTCCATTTTTAATGAAACCACCGGATTCTATATTATTTGTATAAATAATTAAACAAACGTAAGGTGTTGGGTGTGATAGAATGGGAGGATGGGAATGGTTAAGGAAAGAGAAGAAGAACTGAAGGAGGAGAAAATCAATGGTATTATAAATGTATTGTTCTCGGTATTGAAATATACATACTTTTTTTTTAACTAGCCTCATATGAGCTTTAGGTTTTGTATATACACAAGGGCTCATGACTTCGGGGAGTTAGGTGGCCGGATCTAAGTGGTGATGTGGTCGTAGAAATTGTTTGACTGCAATTACAGGGTTTTCCTGCATGTGTGGCATGGTGCAGCGACCTGTTGCCAGATATAGGTTTTTCCAGCAGCCACCCGCTTGACCCAGGGTATCATTACCTCCTTAAGGCACTTGATGCGGGAAAATGAATGGAGGCGTAACGTCACCATCACTAGTGATCACTCCAAACAAATTTGAAATCATCATTAGACTTTTCTAATCATCTGCACTATCCTCAGATTGACATGCAAACTCTGAAATGTTCGTTTCCTGTGCAAATGCCGAGAAGTACAGCATGCCTTTTTCACATTTATGGCGAAGTGAATTGCGTTATGGTACTCTTTTTCTTACAGACAGTGCCAAACTGACCCTACTATACTGTGTATCCGACAAAATCAAAACGAACAACGCACATACGCGAAATAAAAAAAATATAAGATGGCGACAATTTACCCATCGCATGCTGCACGCTTTTATACTTTGACTATTGTCCTATATTTATTGCTGTTATCTCAACGTTTCGACTGTTATGCTCTCCGAACTTCATCAGGTGTCTAACGAACTGGGTAACCTACAGGGAATTCTGAACAGAATTTATTTAATAGTCTGTTTTGTTTTCACTGCCTATGTCTAGGGATATCGTCTAGTTTTTTTTTTATTGTTTGTAATGCTTAATTATTGTTCACCCGCTTCTACTGAGTCGAAATACACACTGCCAACACCAGAGATTGAACTCGCAATTACTATGTCACCAATTTATGAAACAACGCTTTAGTCCGCACGGGTATTGTTCTGTAAGTTTCCCAGATTGATATAAACCTGATGAAGGACTGAGAACCCCCCCTCCCCGCAACCAAAAATAAAAAATAAAAAAAAATGGAATGTTGGTATAATAAAAACAACTATGAGGATAAATGTCCGTATAAAAATAAGGCATTATTTACATTATTTAGACTATTGTCCTCATCTTTGTTGCCATAATTATCACGTTTCGGTCTTTGTACGCTCTGGCCTTCTTCAGGTGGTTGGAATATCGAACTGAACTCTTTATTCCGCTCGCTGGAGTAGACTGTTCTAGTTCCACGTATAATGGATGCCAGTTATCAGTTATCTCCAGTTAATTCACCTTTCCAAGTTCTCCACTGCCTTAAACGAGTATTGAACTCATAACTCTTTGGGTCCAGTCATTGGATCTAACCAACGCCTTTATCCATTGTTTTATGTGTCCTTAAGCCAAAAATAAGGCAAATAAAAGATTACTACTTGTCCCTGAAATTCAAATAGAAATTATCGAATCGAAGTTATCGAACAATTTTCGATTTTTCTTTTAAAATGAATTTAGACATGTAGGTAATTATTTTTCTTTTAATTTTATGATAATCCTGTAGTGATGGGTGCAGTTGTAACTGTATTGCATTCGTAGTAACAGAAGGTGTGTCTACGAAGTCCAGAGTCCAGTCTGTTCTAATATTTACAAGGGTTTTAACTGAACAGAGAGCTTTTTTATACTCTGGACAGGGTTGTCATTCAAGACAAGATAAGAAAGTTTGTCCAAAAATACGGATTCAAGATTTTCGAAGGTTTTCGTGAAAAATGAACGAAGTAGAATCGATCAAAATTCGAACTCAGAACGCTGGTTCCATTTCTCGCGTCTGTATCCGTTAGAAAAATAGTACATCTATTTAAAAAATGAAATATTTTTTTTTATTAATAATGCAACCAATTAAAATCATTTGAAAATACAAAGATTTTTAAGTTATTTTCAAATAATTTATGAATATTTTTATTACTATAAACATTGGATTTAGTTCATGCACGTGTTTCAGTGAAACTGACATTGGTGTATGTCATCTAGAAAGGTGATGAATTTTGGAGGACATTTTTGAGAAATTGTCACCTTCCATTTTCACCTCCGTTGTGAATCACTAAAAGTTCTTTCTTTCTCTCTACCATTTATATGTTTATCAATGGCAGTTGCGTCAATTTCTATTTTACTTTCTTTCTCCATTCATGTTTTTGGTTTTGATTGTAGCATCAACTCCTTTTGTATTTGCATCTAATTATTTCTTCGTTTATATTTGAATTTTTATTTCCTTTACGGTGTTCGTAATTTTTTCCGTTTCTTTCTTTCTTCAAATATTTTATTAATTATTTATTCTACTTTCTCTCTCTATCTCTCTCTCTCTCTCTCTCTTTCACACACACACACACACACACACACACACACACACTCTCTCTGCATTCTCTTTGTTTTTTTCTTTCTTCTCTTTCTATCCTCATTTCTTTTTTGCGTCTTTTTTTAAATTTTATATCGTTCTTCTACTTTCTATTTTTCTTTCCACTCCTTCTTTGTTTCTTACTTTGTTTCTTTCCTCTTGTTCTTTGTTTCTTTAATTCTTTCCTCTCATTCTTTGTTTCTTCATTTCTTTCCTCTCATTCTTTTTTCCTTTGTTTCAATCCTCTTGTTCTTTGTTTCATTTTTTCTTTCGTCTTGTTCTTTGTTCTTTGTTTCTTTAATTCTTTCCTCTCATTCTTTGTTTCTTTCTTTAATTCTTTCATCTCGTTCTTTGTTTCATTATTTCTTTCCTCTCATTCTATGTTTCTTTATTTCTTTCCTCTCATTCTTTGTTTCTTTGTTTCTTTCCTCTCATTCTTTTTTCCTTTGTTTCAATCCTCTTGTTCTTTGTTTCTTTATTTCTTTCCTCTCATTCTTTGTTTCTTTATTTCTTTCCTCTCATTCTTTGTTTCTTTGTTTCTTTCCTCTCATTCTTTGTTTCTTTATTTCGTTCCTCTCATTCTTTTTTCCTTTGTTTCAATCCTCTTGTTCTTTGTTTCTTTATTTCTTTCCTCTCATTCTTTGTTTCTTTATTTCGTTCCTCTCATTCTTTTTTCCTTTGTTTCAATCCTCTTGTTCTTTGTTTCTTTATTTCTTTCCTCTCATTCTTTGTTTCTTTTCGTTCGTTCCTCTCATTCTTTTTTCCTTTGTTTCAATCCTCTTGTTCTTTGTTTCTTTATTTCTTTCCTCTCATTCTTTGTTTCTTTATTTCTTTCCTCTCATTCTTTGTTTCTTTATTTCTTTCCTCTCATTCTTTTTTCCTTTGTTTCAATCCTCTTGTTCTTTGTTTCTTTATTTCTTTCCTCTCATTCTTTGTTTCTTTATTTCTTTCCTCTCATTCTTTGTTTCTTTGTTTCTTTCCTCTCATTCTCTTTTCCTTTGTTTCAATCCTCTTGTTCTTTGTTTCTTTATTTCTTTCCTCTCATTCTTTGTTTCTTTATTTCTTTCCTCTCATTCTTTGTTTCTTTGTTTCTTTCCACTCATTCTTTTTTCCTTAGTTTCAATCCTCTTGTTCTTTGTTTCTTTATTTCTTTCCTCTCATTCTTTGTTTCTTTATTTCTTTCCTCTTGTTCTTTGTTTCTTTATTTCTTTCCTCTTGTTCTTTGTTTCTTTATTTCTTTCCTCTCATTCTTTGTTTCTTTATTTCTTTCCTTTGTTCTTTGTTTCTTTATTTATTTCCTCTCATTCTTTGTTTCTTTATTTCTTTCCTCTTGTACTTTGTTTCTTTATTTCCTTCCTCTCATTCTTTGTTTCTTTATTTCTTTCCTTTGTTCTTTGTTTCTTTATTTATTTCCTCTCATTCTTTGTTTCTTTATTTCTTTCCTCTTGTACTTTGTTTCTTTATTTCTTTCCTCTTGTTCTTTGTTTCTTTATTTCTTTCCTCTAGTTCTTTGTTTCTTTATTTCCTTCCTCTCATTCTTTGTTTCTTTATTTCTTTCCTCTCATTTTTTGTTTCTTTGTTTCTTTCCTCTTGTTCTTTGTTTCTTTATTTCGTTCCTCTCATTCTTTGTTTCTTTAATTCTTTCCTCTTTTTTTTGTTTCTTTATTTCGTTCCTCTCATTCTTTGGGTCTTTATTTCTTTCCTCTTGTTCTTTGTTTCTTTATTTCTTTCCTCTTGTTCTTTGTTTCTTTGTTTCTTTCCTCTCATTCTTTTTTCCTTTGTTTCAATCCTCTTGTTCTTTGTTTCTTTATTTCTTTCCTCTCATTCTTTGTTTCTTTGTTTCTTTCCTCTCATTCTTTGTTTCTTTGTTTCTTTCCTCTCATTCTTTTTTCCTTTGTTTCAATCCTCTTGTTCTTTGTTTCTTTATTTCTTTCCTCTCATTCTTTTTTCTTTTTTTTCTTTTTTTCCTCTCATTCTTTGTTTCTTTTCTTTATTTCTTTCCTCTCATTCTTTTTTTTTCTTTGTTTCAATCCTCTTGTTCTTTTTTCTTTATTTCTTTCCTCTCATTCTTTGTTTCTTTTTTCTTTCCTTCTCTTTGTTCTTTGTTTCTTTATTTCTTTCCTCTTGTTCTTTTCTTTGTTTCTTTTATTTCTTTCCCTCTCATTCTTTGTTTCTTTATTTCTTTCCTCTCATTCTTTGTTTCTTTGTTTCTTTCCTCTCATTCTTTTTTCTCCTTTTTGTTTCAATCCTCTTGTTCTTTGTTTCTTTATTTCTTTCCTCTCATTCTTTGTTTCTTTATTTCTTTCCTCTTGTTCTTTGTTTCTTTATTTCTTTCCTCTTGTTCTTTGTTTCTTTATTTCTTTCCTCTCATTCTTTGTTTCTTTATTTCTTTCCTCTCATTCTTTTTCTTTGTTTCTTTGTTTCTTTCCTCTCATTCTTTTTTCCTTTGTTTCAATCCTCTTGTTCTTTGTTTCTTTATTTCTTTCCTCTCATTCTTTGTTTCTTTATTTCTTTCCTCTTGTTCTTTGTTTCTTTATTTCTTTCCTCTTGTTCTTTGTTTCTTTATTTCTTTCCTCTCATTCTTTGTTTCTTTATTTCTTTCCTCTCATTCTTTGTTTCTTTGTTTCTTTCCTCTCATTCTTTTTTCCTTTGTTTCAATCCTCTTGTTCTTTGTTTCTTTATTTCTTTCCTCTCATTCTTTGTTTCTTTATTTCTTTCCTCTTGTTCTTTGTTTCTTTATTTCTTTCCTCTTGTTCTTTGTTTCTTTATTTCTTTCCTCTCATTCTTTGTTTCTTTATTTCTTTCCTCTCATTCTTTGTTTCTTTGTTTCTTTCCTCTCATTCTTTTTTTTTTTGTTTCAATCCTCTTGTTCTTTGTTTCTTTATTTCTTTCCTCTCATTCTTTGTTTCTTTATTTCTTTCCTCTTGTTCTTTGTTTCTTTATTTCTTTCCTCTTGTTCTTTGTTTCTTTATTTCTTTCCTCTCATTCTTTGTTTCTTTATTTCTATCCTCTCATTCTTTGTTTCTTTGTTTCTTTCCTCTCATTCTTTTTCCCTTTGTTTCAATCCTCTTGTTCTTTGTTTCTTTATTTCTTTCCTCTAATTCTTTGTTTCTTTATTTCTTTCCTCTTGTTCTTTGTTTCTTTATTTCTTTCTTCTTGTTCTTTGTTTCTTTATTTCTTTCCTCTCATTCTTTGTTTCTTTATTTCTTTCCTCTCATTCTTTGTTTCTTTGTTTCTTTCCTCTCATTCTTTTTTCCTTTGTTTCAATCCTCTTGTTCTTTGTTTCTTTATTTCTTTCCTCTCATTCTTTTTTCCTTTGTTTCAATCCTCTTGTTCTTTGTTTCTTTATTTCTTTCCTCTCATTCTTTGTTTCTTTATTTCTTTCCTCTTGTACTTTGTTTCTTTATTTCCTTCCTCTCATTCTTTGTTTCTTTATTTCTTTCCTTTGTTCTTTGTTTCTTTATTTATTTCCTCTCATTCTTTGTTTCTTTATTTCTTTCCTCTTGTACTTTGTTTCTTTATTTCTTTCCTCTTGTCCTTTGTTTCTTTATTTCTTTTCTCTTGTTCTTTGTTTCTTTATTTCCTTCCTCTCATTCTTTGTTTCTTTATTTCTTTCCTCTCATTCTTTGTTTCTTTCCTCTTGTTCTTTGTTTCTTTATTTCGTTCCTCTCATTCTTTGTTTCTTTAATTCTTTCCTCTTGTTCTTTGTTTCTTTATTTCCTTCCTCTCATTCTTTGTTTCTTTAATTCTTTCCTCTTGTTCTTTGTTTCTTTATTTCCTTCCTCTCATTCTTTGTTTCTTTAATTCTTTCCTCTTGTTCTTTGTTTCTTTATTTCTTTCCTCTTGTTCTTTGTTTCTTTATTTCTTTCCTCTTGTTCTTTGTTTCTTTATTTCTTTCCTCTCATTCTTTGTTTCTTTATTTCTTTCCTCTTGTTCATTGTTTCTTTATTTCCTTCCTCTCTTTCTTTGTTTCTTTATTTCTTTCCTCTCATTCTTTTTTCCTTTGTTTCAATCCTCTTGTTCTTTGTTTCTTTATTTCCTTCCTCTCATTCTTTGTTTCTTTATTTCTTTCCTCTTGTTCTTTGTTTCTTTATTTCTTTTCCTCTCATTCTTTTTGTTTCTTTTAATTCTTTTCCTCTCATTCTTTGTTTCTTTATTTCTTTTCCTCTTGTTCTTTGTTTCTTTATTTCTTTCCTCTTGTTCTTTGTTTCTTTATTTCTTTCCTCTCATTCTTTGTTTTCTTTAATTCTTTCCTCTTTGTTCTTTTGTTTCTTTTCTTTTATTTCTTTCTTTTCTCTTGTTCTTTGTTTCTTTTATTTCTTTCCTCTCATTCTTTTTTTCCCTTTGTTTCAATCCTCTTGTTCTTTGTTTCTTTATTTCCTTCCTCTCATTCTTTGTTTCTTTATTTCTTTCCTCTTGTTCTTTGTTTCTTTTATTTCTTTCCTCTCATTCTTTGTTTCTTTAATTCTTTCCTCTTGTTCTTTTTTTTTCTTTATTTCTTTCCTCTCTCATTCTTTGTTTCTTTAATTCTTTCCTCTTGTTCTTTGTTTCTTTATTTCTTTTCCTCTTGTTCTTTGTTTCTTTATTTCCTTCCTCTCATTCTTTTGTTTCTTTATTTCTTTCCTCTTGTTCTTTGTTTCTTTATTTCTTTCCTCTCATTCTTTGTTTCTTTTTTCTTTCCTCTTGTTCTTTGTTTCTTTTCTTCTTTCCTCTTGTTCTTTGTTTCTTTATTTCTTTCCTCTTGTTCTTTGTTTCTTTATTTCTTTCCTCTCATTCTTTGTTTCTTTATTTCTTTCCTCTTGTTCTTTGTTTCTTTATTTCTTTCCTCTTGTTCTTTGTTTCTTTATTTCCTTCCTCTCATTCTTTGTTTTCTTTATTTCTTTCCTCTTGTTCTTTGTTTCTTTATTTCTTTCCTCTTGTTCTTTGTTTCTTTTTCTTTGTTTCTTTCCTCTTGTTCTTTGTTTCTTTTTTTTTTCTCTTTCCTCTTGTTCTTTGTTTCTTTATTTCTTTCCTCTTGTTCTTTGTTTCTTTATTTCTTTCCTCTCATTCTTTTTTTCTTTTATTTCTTTCCTCTTTTGTTCTTTGTTTCTTTTGTTTCTTTCCTCTTGTTCTTTTTTTTATTTCTTTCCTCTTGTTTCTTTCCTCTTGTTCTTTGTTTCTTTATTTCTTTCCTCTTGTTCTTTGTTTCTTTATTTCTTTCCTCTTGTTTTGTTTCTTTGTTTCTTTTTTTTTTTCCTTTTTTTCTTTCCTCTTGTTCTTTGTTTCTTTATTTCTTTCCTCTTGTTCTTTGTTTCTTTATTTCTTTCCTCTTGTTCTTTGTTTTTTTTTCTTTATTTCTTTCCTCTCATTCTTTGTTTCTTTTATTTCTTTCCTCTTGTTCTTTGTTTCTTTTTATTTCTTTCCTCTCATTCTTTGTTTCTTTATTTCAATCCTCTTGTTCTTTGTTTCTTTATTTCCTTCCTCTCATTCTTTGTTTCTTTATTTCAATCCTCTTGTTCTTTGTTTCTTTATTTCCTTCCTCTCATTCTTTGTTTCTTTATTTCTTTCCTCTTGTTCTTTGTTTCTTTATTTCTTTCCTCTCATTCTTTGTTTCTTTAATTCTTTCCCCTTGTTCTTTGTTTCTTTATTTCTTTCCTCTTGTTCTTTGTTTCTTTATTTCCTTCCTCTCATTCTTTGTTTCTTTATTTCTTTCCTCTTGTTCTTTGTTTCTTTATTTCTTTCCTCTCATTCTTTGTTTCTTTTTTTCTTTCCTCTTGTTCTTTGTTTCTTTATTTCTTTCCTCTTGTTCTTTGTTTCTTTATTTCTTTCCTCTTGTTCTTTGTTTCTTTATTTCTTTCCTCTCATTCTTTGTTTCTTTATTTCTTTCCTCTTGTTCTTTGTTTCTTTATTTCTTTCCTCTCATTCTTTGTTTCTTTATTTCTTTCCTCTTGTTCTTTGTTTCTTTATTTCTTTCCTCTCATTCTTTGTTTCTTTATTTCTTTCCTCTTGTACTTTGTTTCTTTATTTCCTTCCTCTCATTCTTTGTTTCTTTATTTCTTTCCTTTGTTCTTTGTTTCTTTATTTCTTTTCTCTCATTCTTTGTTTCTTTATTTCTTTCCTCTCATTTTTTTTCCTTTGTTTCAATCCTCTTGTTCTTTGTTTCTTTATTTCTTTCCTCTTGTTCTTTGTTTCTTTATTTCCTTCCTCTCATTCTTTGTTTCTTTATTTCTTTCCTCTTGTTCTTTGTTTCTTTATTTCTTTCCTCTCATTCTTTGTTTCTTTATTTCTTTCCTCTCATTCTTTGTTTCTTTGTTTCTTTCCTCTCATTCTTTTTTCTTTTGTTTCAATCCTCTTGTTCTTTGTTTCTTTATTTCTTTCCTCTTGTTCTTTGTTTCTTTATTTCTTTCCTCTCATTCTTTGTTTCTTTAATTCTTTCCTCTTGTTCTTTGTTTCTTTATTTCTTTCCTCTTGTTCTTTGTTTCTTTAATTCTTTCCTCTTGTTCTTTGTTTCTTTATTTCCTTCCTCTCATTCTTTGTTTCTTTATTTCCTTCCTCTCATTCTTTGTTTCTTTATTTTTTTCCAATTTTTCGCGTCATTTCTTTTTTACATTCTGCTTGTTTTATTTTTCTTCTTCTGCTTCCTTCATTTCTTTGATTTTGACTTCGATTTTTACTTCGTTTCTTTTTTTTTACTTCTCGTTCTTTCTAGATTTTCTTCTTCCTGCTCGTTCCTTCTTTGTGCCGTCCATCTTTTTCATGATTTCTTTCTTCTATTATTAGTTCTCTTTGTTTCGGAATTCTCTGTTTTCTTGTCAGTCTTTTTTATTTCCTTTTTTATCACCGTTCTTTTTTTGCTTCTTTCTTTGTTTCTTTCTTTCTTCCTTTTCATTTTTCCTTCATTTTTTTATTTCTTCTAAGTCTATGGTCACGTATTTCTTTTTTTTCATTTATCCATACATTCGTTTATTTATTCTTTCTTTGTTTCTTTTTATTCTTTCCGCGATCCTTGATTGCTTCTAATTCTGTAATCGTGTATTTCTTACTTTTCATTCATCAAAACATTTTTCTTTCTTTCTTTCTTTCTTTCTTTCTTTCTTTCTTTCTTTCTTTCTTCATTCTCATTGTCTGCCCGTTGTTTTTCCTAATTGTGTATTTCTTACTTTTCATTCATCAAAACATTTTTCTTTCTTTCTTTCTTTCTTTCTTTCTTTCTTTCTTCATTCTCATTGTCTGCCCGTTGTTTTTCCTAATTGTGTATTTCTTACTTTTCATTCATCAAAACATTTTTCTTTCTTTCTTTCTTTCTTTCTTTCTTTCTTTCTTTCTTTCTTTCTTTCTTTCTTTCTTTATTCTCATTGTCTGCCCGTTGTTTTTCCTAATTGTGTATTTCTTACTTTTCATTCATCAAAACATTTTTCTTTCTTTCTTTCTTTCTTTCTTTCTTTCTTTCTTCATTCTCATTGTCTGCCCGTTGTTTTTCCTAATTGTGTATTTCTTACTTTTCATTCACTCGATTATTCATTTTCTTTCTTTCTTTCTTTTTTCTTTCTTTCTTTTCTCTAATTTCTTTCTTCTTTTCTTTCTATTTTTACGATCTTTTTCTTCATTATGTCTTCGTTTATTTCTTCCTTCTCATTCTTTCCTCGTCCATTCCTTTCTTTTAATTCTGTGATCGTTTATTTATTTCCTTTCATTCATTCATTCTTTTACTCATTCATTCTTTATTACTTTCATTTTCTTACGTCTTTTCTCTTTCTTTCTTTCATTCCTGTCCTCCATATTTCTTCGTAGTTTTCTTTCCTTCTACTCGTTCTTTCTTCGATTCTTTCTTCTTTTTTTTTGTACTTTTTTCATTTCTTTTTCCTCCTCTTTTGTTTCTTCCTGTATATCTTTTCCATTGCTTTCGCTTTCTCCGTCCATCAACAGTTCTCTTTTACTTTTACTGATTTTCTTTTTTTATGCTGTTTTCCTTTTCAGCTCATCTTTCTTTTCTTTTCTTTTTAAATTCGTGTTTCTTTCTTCTCTATCTTTCATTTTCTTTTTTTTTTTTTTGCATTTTCCAATTACACGCATCTAATTGAATTGTCTTCCGAACATATCAAATAAAAGGCAAAGCAAATGT